TGCTCACATACTGTGCTCGCATCACGAACACACACACACATACACACTTTATTTTTGCCATGTCATAGAAAATAAACTGCCAAACTTAATCATTATGATCATCGCTACAAAGTAAAATACGAACATGAAAATGACTGAAATGAAGTGTGTTACCATCGTAAAATGTAATATCTCAATTTTTGTAATATAGTCATACAAACCAAACAATTCTAAGCTAATTCGACTTTCTTCAAGATGATAACTTGATGCCTTGATGACACCCCCGCAACCATGTTTTCATGTCACACTTAGGATTTCAAAGTAGAGATTCGAGTGATGATTATTATTTTTAAGCTTTTGAATTGGTAAATTCCGAAAGAAAACGTTTTTCCCGTTTCAAAAAAATTTGAATTTCAACGAATTTAAATCTGATTTGAATCGTACTCACAGCTTTTGCGATTTGATTTTGCTTACGTTGTCTTTTGGATTTTGTCTCCCTACTCGACTCAATTTACTCGACTTTTGCTTTTGTTTTTTTCTGCTGTTCATTCGTCCCTGTGGAAAATCATTGATCCGATTGTTTAAAAAACATCAACTTAAGGGGTTTTATGTTACATTGTACGACTGCTACATATATATAAATATATTTCTTGGTCATCGATATATTAATGATATATTGCTTATTTTTATGCGGCATCGCTTCGTTCTTAAAAAATAGATCTGATAGTATGTTGTTTATTCGATATATTGATGCTAAAACCCAATCGATGACGGTAAGGGGGAAACATTTTCGTATTTCATTTTTTTGTTATTCATAATACGAATTGATTGTCAATTGATACGGATGATGCGCTATGGTCAATTCAATGCAAGTCGTTGAATAAATAAACAAGATATATATACATATAAAGAGACAGACAGACAAGGAATGGGCAAATGGATCATAATCTTTATCGGCAAATTTGCTGAAAACAAGTTACAAATTTACCATATTTAGGCAACCGTATTTATTCAGCTTTTTGTTATTGTTGTTTGTCGTGATGTTTATGATGGTAGCCTAGGCCATCAATTGGCCATCAATAAATCAATGACTTTATATCTCTAATCGTTTGAAGTACAGTGTGGTTGGTTGTTATAAATGGCTATCGCTGCCGTTGCCACCGCAGCCGACACAACAAAATCCTTTCGAAAAAGAATGGGAATACCCTTCTTATAATGACAAATACCCTTCAATTTTAAATCTTCTTCGATTTTCTTTAGTTCGACCGATGAACATTTAATTTTCAAATCTTCCTTCATTCAAATTGGTATATCGAACATCAAACGACATTTTACAACCATAGAAACATGTTGAATAATTAATTAATTTACTTATTTTATACTCGCATCGAATTCATTTGCTTTTTTCGTCGTTTTTCACATTATGTTCCTTGAAAAATGTTTTTGTTGTATTGAGGATGGTGATGGCATAGAAGAAAAAATGACAGAACGAAACAGAGACGTCATCCAGTAATTAAGTAGCTGTTGGTTTTTGTATTTGAATTGTTTGCCATCAAGGATTCATTTTAGTATAGCCATGTTGCTTGCGTGTTACGAATCTTTGCTCATCACCACTCTCACCACATGGTCATTTCATATCAATCATGTCGAATAACAAACTTGCAAAAACAAATAACGTAATTGATTCATTAATAAAAAACAGACAATATATTTTACTAAGTGGTCAACTGAGCTGACAGTACGTTAGCCAGCTAAATGTGCTAAAACAATAAAAGTTATTATTATAATGATCAATTACTTTTATTAAAACAATAGAAGTGATTCATCATTATAGCAATAACCTTTATTGTTTTACCCCATTTAGCTGGCTAACATACGACAGCTCAGTTGACCAGTTAGTTCAATATATTGTCTGATAAAAAAAGAATCATATGTGAATATATGGGACAAAATTTTGGATCTTTTAATTTAGTTCTCGTTATCAATATTGTCGAATGTCCATAATCATACATTATTGTACATTTAACCACTCTTTTATGTGTGATTTTTTCAAGTCTTTTGATGTCATTTCCCCGGGGACACTGAGGAACCAAGAAGAAAGCCTACGCCAATGTTAATAACATGTATATATATTTAGGGTGGAACATTTTTTGAATTTCGAGGCATATCTTGATGGCCACTTGGGAAAACATGTCTTATAGTCCCCAGATTCAAGACATGAAGGAATTTTCAACTTGCGGTTCCATATAAGACAGCGACTTGAAAGGAAGGGAGGTACATTTTACTGGAAAATCATACAAAATTGCAGTGACCCAATCACATGAAAACTTGTGAATCTTATTTTCTGACCAAAATAAGTTATATCACCAAGTTTGATGAAATTTCAACCAAGAATAAAGGTTCCTCCCATACAAAAATTTCGATTGTTTGTTTTTGAGGCACCTTTATTTTTGGTTGAAATTTCATCAAATTTGGTGATATTACTTATTTTGGTCAGAAAATAGGATTCACAAGTTTTCATGGTGATTGGGTCACTGCAATTTTTCATGATTTTCCAGAAAAATGTACCTCCTTTCCTTTCAAGTCGCTGTCTTATATGGAACCTCAAGTTTAAAATTCCTTCATATCTTGAATCTGGGGACTATAAGACATGTTTTCCCAAGTAACCACCAAATTGTGCCAAAAATGTTCCACCCTAATATATATATATATATAACTAATTTGTTTATTTGCTTGATTTCTCATCGCTCCATTGATTCAACTGAACGAATTTATCTACCACATCTTGCTCACCTTCTTTCTTTCTTTTTATACATTTCTTCATTTATACAATGGAAAAATTCAATTAATTATCATTGAATTGGATCTGAAGAAGAAAAACATGGTGTACTACCCCCTTTTTTCGCTTGAAATATCTCAAATCGCGTGTAATCTTTCATTCGCAGCATAAACACATTAAAGGAAACAAGAAAAAAATTCAAAACCAAAATAAAAGAAAACAAGTGCATAAAAAATGACATTAATTATCTTAAAATTAAATAAAGTGTAAGAGAAAATCTCAGTGAAACAGATTTTCATATGTTTTTTCTACCGAATTAAATAAAAATAAAAAAGAATGAACACCATGAAATGAATAAATAAATTTGATCTGTCACCGAATTTATCTTTTTCGTCGCGTAGACCAAAGAGAACATTTCGAGACCCATACTACATTTAATTGTCAACAGTATAGTATGAACAACAAGTGGGAAAAATGAGACAAACAAAAACAACACAACGATGGTGAAAAAAAGATTTGAATACGAGGGGGATGTAAATACGCGTAAATACACACCAAAACAAAAATGCATTCATTCGTTTCAAGCGATTTCACCCTTGCGAAACTTTTCTGTTTTTTTTTTTGTTATTGGTTGGCTTATTTTCTTTTGAAAAATAAAATTGCGACAAAGGGAGTTTCACAGGAAACACGAAAGAGAAACACAAAACGAAAAATCACGCACTTACTGAAATTCGAATTTGATAGGATCCTATCAATAGACTAAACAATATTGACACCTTTAATAACGGCGTAAACATATCTTCATCATTTTTTTTCTGTTTATTATTATTTGCAAAAGACCGAAAACAAAGCTAAATATCAGTAATGTAATAGAAAAAAAAGAAAATAAAAGACGATATATCTATGCACAGTTGGGTGCACAAACGTTACCACTAACCTAAATTCGAGCGTGGCATTTAAATGCAGTCTAACGTTATATTCAGTTTGAAAAGAAGGACAGTTTGAATGCTGCAGTCAATCGATAGTAACGATACAAAATTCGATTGGCATAGTTTTGTGCGAAAGAAGTTGGTGTAAATTATCCTCAAATAAACAATGGTTCAAATCAATTAGCAATACAAAATTCAGGAATTTTACAATTGGGTACAACTCAGTAAAATCAAAGTTGGACATACTATTTCAACAAGGGTAAGAGGTATCAAAATCAGCAAAAAGTAATATTTCGAAATGATGGACATTCAGTTTGTGGCAGAGGAGGAGGTGGAGGCCAATACAGTTTTTCAACCATGCATCATCGCCAAAGATAGAAAGACCTCCATAAATCGCAAAAAATAGAAAAAAAGATGAAAATAGTTTGCCAGAAATGCTGAGTTTGCCATTGTAGAAGGATTGGCTAAATGCGCAATCCGCCTACACTGGTGCGTGCAATTAACTAACAACTTAATCTTATCATTAACTAATCATATTGTGACGAATTGAAATCAGAATGGTATTGAAGCTTAAACAGCTTAGATGTTTCAATCCATTATACCACCAAAAATGTGACCAGAAGCAAACCAATACTACAGCGGAATGACAGAATCTAATTCGAGGTGATGATTTTTTTCTTGGAGCTTGTCTATTTTTCAAATATGGAAAAAACTTTTTAAAATATGGAAACACCAATTCACTGTTCGTAACTCAAGCGAAAGTGTTTCTATCTGTCGTCTGCACAATCTAATATACCTCACGTATGGCATGAAAAATTATTATTCATACTTATTTTTTCTTATTTATTCATACTAAAACTCATGATGTTGTTAAATCTGATAAATCCATACTGACAGTCAGCACTTTTTGTATGGTGGTGTTACATTTAAATAAGTTGTTAATAGAAGTCTCGCTTTCATTCTCGGACATTCAATTCAGACAGTAAAAAAAAACAATTTTCATAGCTCATCATGCCGCAATTTTCTAATTTCTGCATAGTAAATCCCAATAAGTTTTCTATATTGGTTTAAGCTTTTTAAATATTGTTTGACTGAATTGGTGACGCCATCTAGTGAAAAGCAATGAATAAGCTGGTATGATTTATATTTTTCTAATAACGATGTCTTATAAAATTGTATATTTCGCTTTGTGATTGAATAATTTACAAATTTGAAAGTTTATTAATAGGAATAATCCTTAAACGAGTTCTTATTAATTTAAAATTTGTTTTAAGTATTTGCAAAAGAAAAAGAAACAGAAAAAAAAACACTTATTATTCGGGTGCAATATTTAATCGTAATAAATATTTAGTCGTATGTAAATATTTGTATGCTTTGGCAGATACAAATATATTTTATTTATACGATTTAATTTAATTTTCCACTTTTCTTCTTTGTTCTTTGGTATATGATATAACCAATTATTTCAATTGCAAAGGTTTCTTAAAAAAATGGTAGGAATACAGTAGTGTAACTCACTAACTTGTTACATTTGGCACATTATCAAGTAAGTGGAAAATGTTCTGTTTTAATTTAAAAAAATTAGCTTTTTTTAATTAAATCAATATATACGGGATGTGGGGCGATACACCACCAAAATTTAAAGAAATTCAATGCGCATTTTCAGACAGGTACACATTACATAATGTTATTATTATCACGAAATTTGGGTGATGTATCATTTTACTCCCATTACCTCTAGTCTTGCAGGAAAAAATGTAATAGAGACTTAATAAAAAAACAAACAAAAACATTTAAAATATGATTTCGCTCAATTCTACGCATTTATACTAAGTGTCACAGATGTTTACACCAATTGTAACCCAATTTTTGAATTTATTTTTAAGTTTTTTGTCTTTATCGATATTTCTTGTTTTAATTTTAGTTTTTTTCTGGTTCTTTCTTTATCTCTCACGTCAAAAATATCAATTTTTATTGATTAATTGCATTGTCGGCCGATCTTGTCACAAGAATTGGGGTCTTCGGACGTGTTGTCTCAATTAGTTTAATTTTAACTCGGCCTGTATCATGAGAATATACCTAAAAAAATAATTAATTATATTAATTTAATCTAATTATAGTATTTGTAAAAATAAATAAATAGTATTTAATAATAATTTCTATTGGTTAATTTATAAATCGAAAATGAAGAGCTTACCGGACTGTATCTTGATGGCTTTGGTGAAATTGGTTGAAATTGTTTTTGATCATTTGCATTGTCATTGATTTTATCTGAATGTACACCATTTGGTACATGCTTTGCGTTACCTAGAGTGAAGTGATCAGTGTGAAAAATTGTATTTGTACACACAAAAAATAGTAGATTTTTTAGGTTATGTGGTAGGCACATAGTTTACCACACATCAAGTAAAATCTACCACAAAGTGTCACATGTATTTGCACTAATATTTGTAATCTACTACAAAGTGTCGCATCTATAAACTGTCAAATTTACAAATACCAATGTATGACACTTTTTACATGGGACACTTATTAATGCAAATACATGTGACACTTTGTGGTAGATTTTACTTGTTGTGTGGTAAACTATATGCCTACCACATAACCTAAAAAATCTACTATTTCTTTTTTTTTTTTGTGTATAGGACTTTTGAATAAGATAATAAAAAATGCAAAAGAAAGGAGAGAATACATTAAAAAATTCACACTACCAAATCTCAATTTTCCTAGGGAAATCTCTCACTTTTCTCAAACATGAATATTTCAAGACAATATTGATTTTATCGAATAAGTAAGATTCCAAACGATTTTTTTCAATAAAAGCAGTTTTGAGCAATATTTGTCGATGTTTGATGGATATTTCAATGCCAACTTAACCTGCTATACCGACTTGTCATATTGATGAAGTACTAGATTATGTTATTAAAATTTTCTGTCTATTTTTCTCAACAACTAAAAAATACTATATATCTTACATAATATTTTTTATTTATTAAGTAAAATAAAGTGAGGTTATAATAATTATTTAATCGGTTTATCACGATTGTGACACAAAAGTGAAGTTATGTCAACCAATTCATTTTTATCTATCTATCTATATATATAAAAGCGAATGTATGTATGTCTGTGTGTTTCGGGTTGGCGTCCAAACGCCTCAACCGATCCGGATAAAAGTGGTACCGTTGGAAAGGTTTTGGCCCGGCGGTGAACATAGGCACCATCATGTTTGGCCATCGTGGTCTAACACGGTCATTATGGTCAAAAAACCGTATTTTTACCGTATTTTGCCTACATTTTGCATATTTTATTGTCAAAAAGTGAGAATGGACCGTGGTAAACCGTGGTAACCGTGATGGCCGACCACGATGGACCGTGGATGGTAAATGGTTTGAAATGTAAAATTTTTACGATTTAAGCGATTTTAACATCCATCGTGGTCTAACATCATTTAACACGGTTATTGAGGTCGGACATCATGGCTTAACACCATATAACATGGTAAAAAAATGTCCAAACATGATTTAACATGGTTAACGGGGTCGGCCATCATGATTTAACACGATTTCCGAGGTCGACCGTCATGGTTAAAAATGTCAAAACATGATTTAACATGGTTTACGGGGTCGTTTGTTACAGTTTCATATATATGTGTGTGAATCTTTTATACAGGCTGTGTGTTCGGTCTGATTTCAGCAGGCACCGATATTCCTAACGGGATAAGTATGCTGTGCCTTTGGACAAGATATGTTACGCACAGATAGCTATCCCGCTAGACATATCAGTACCTGCTGAAATCAGACCGAACATATAGCCTGTTTTTAAAGAGATATTTGAATTTTGTCAAAAATAATATGTAAAGGGAGAAGCGTTAAATTATACTGGTCTCCTACTAAATATGGTCACTAGTGCCTTACCGTTCAGTTGTTGTGTAGGCATTGTTGGTGTTGCTTCTGATTTAATATCCTTATCTTCATTCAATTTTTGTAGCAATGGCTCTTCACCGTTACATAAATTTGTTTTTTTTTCTTGATCATGTTTGTCTGGAATCAATGGTATAAATTCGACAGGATTTTGAATTGGTTTGCCCAAATTATTTTTATCCATTGGTTTCATTTCTTGTGCCGGATTTTCAATATCCTGTTATAGAGTAAAGGAAAGACATACAGTACAATGATTACAATACATATTAGATGGTCTAGATTCAAACAGAGCTGTGAACCAATTCTACTAAATCATAAAGGAATCTATAAATAAATTGACTACAAAATCTGATGAATTTACTGAATAACAGGCCGGCTGAAAAGTTCGTAGGCTGACACATAGATGGCATTACTAGAATTAAATCCATATGATTTTTAATTAGTGCCAACCTTCAAAAGATATGTGTCAAAATTTGACAGCAATCGGACCATTGGTTCGTGAGTTATTGCATTGAGAGTGAAGCAACTTTTGTTATTGTGAAAAAAATGGATAAAAGAGAATTTCGTGTGTTGATGAAGCATTGCTTTTTGGTGAAAAAAAATACTGTTGAAGCCAAGGTTTGGCTTGATAAGTATTATTTGGACTCTGCACCAGGGAAATCAACCATTGAGAAGTGGTTTGCTAAATTTAAACGAGGCGAAATGAGCACTGAAGACGATGCGCGCAGTGGACGGCCAAAAGAGGCTGTTACCGACGAAAACATCAAAAAAATCCACAAAATAATTTTGAATGATCGTAAAGTGAAGTTAAGCGATATAGCTGAGACCCTAAAGATATCAAAGGAACGTGTTGGACATATCGTGCATGAATATTTGGACATGCGAAAGCTGTTTGCAAAGTGGGTGCCGCGCGTGCTCACAATCGATCAAAAGCAACAACGTGTTGATGATTCGGAGCAATGTTTGGAGCTGTTCAACCGTAATAAAGACGAATTTTTCCGACGATATGTGACAATGGATCAAACATGGCTCCATCACTACACTCCGGAGTCCAATCGACAGTCAGCCGAGTGGACTGCACACGGTGAACCGAATCCAAAGCGTGGAAAAACGCAACAGTCGGCTGGCAAGGTTATGGCGTCTGTATTTTGGGATGCGCACGGTATCATATTCATCGATTACCTCCAAAGGGGCCGGACCATCAACAGCGACTACTACATAGCGTTATTGGAGCGTTTGAAGGATGAGATCACAAAAAAACGGCCCCATTTGAAAAAGAAAAAAGTGCTTTTTCATCAAGACAATGCACCGTGTCACAAATCAATGAAAACGATGGCAAAATTGCATGAATTGGGTTTTGAATTGCTTCCCCATCCACCGTATTCTCCAGATCTGGCCCCCAGCGACTATTTCCTGTTCGCAGACCTCAAAAGAATGCTCGCGGGAAAAAAATTTAGCGCTGATGAAGAAGTAAGCCTATTTTGAGGGTAAAGAGAAATCGTACTATAAAAATGGTATCGAAAAGTTGGAAAATCGTTGGAATCGCTGTATCGCCCTCGAAGGCATGTATGTTGAATAATAAAACCGAATTTTGTCAAAAAAATGTGTTTTACTATGTTAGCCAACAAACTTTTCAGCCGGCCTGTTAGTTCTCTGAATTTAAATCAACTCCTACATCTTATCCGATCAAGATAAAATAAAAATCAAATAGAACAATTTTTTCTACCCTTTCAAACGAAAAGAAATAAAATTTCGAAAAAAAAATACCTAAAAGATTATTGCATTGAAATACAGGGGGAGGAAAAATTTTTAAGCCTGACATATAGACGGCACTAGTTACAAATTGTTCTTGTGCTGTAATTGACGTACGAACTGTCAATAGTATTGCAGAAAAAAATTGAGTTGATATCTGTCGTCGTTTGTTTTCAACATCATTGCATACCAAGCAACCTCGATATTTTTGAAAAAATGGATAAAATCGAATATCGTGCGGTGATTAAGTTTCTCACAAAAGAAGGTGTGACACCAAAGGATATCAATGATCGCTTGCGTGCTGTTTATGGGGTCCTTGCCCCATCGTATGCCACAGTAAAACTATGGGCAAAACAATTCAAGTGGGGTAGAGAATCATTGGAAGATGATCCTCATACAGGTCGACCAATTGAAGCAACAGCTTCAGATGTAGTGCAAAAAATTGAACATCACGTGCACGAAAATCCTCGAATGAGCAAGAAAGTGTTAGCAGCAATGTTTGACATCTCAGAGAAGAGTATTTACAACATACTTCATGAAAAATTGCACATGAGAAAGGTTTGCTCGCGATGGATTCCAAGAACGTTGAACAAATCCCAAAAAGAAGAACGAATTGCTGCTGCACACGAGTTTCTCGAGTTGTTGGAATGGAATGAAACGGACACATTTGAGGGAATAGTGACTGGCGACGAAACCTGGATCCACTACTATGATCCAGAGCTCAAATCACAGACGATGGAATGGCACAAACGTGGTGAACCAGCATCGAAAGTGCCACGCAAACAAATTGCCACAAACAAAGTAATGGCCTCTGTATTCTGGGATGCCAAAGGCATATTATTGGTTGAATTCCTTCCAAAGAATACCACAGTCACGGGCTATTATTATGCACAACAAATGCATAGATTGCGTAAAGCGATCAGAGAAAAGCGTCCTGGTTTGCTCACTCGAAAAGTTCTTCTTTTGCATGACAATGCACCGCCTCACAAATCATTGCTTGCACAAGCTGCCATCAGGGAATGTGGGTTCGAACAACTCCACCATCCACCGTATTCTCCAGATCTGGCCCCCAGCGACTATTTCCTGTTCCCAAACACCAAAAGATATCTGAAGGGGAAGCAATATGAGTCCGAAGAAGAGATATCGAACGATATTTTCAACGTATGGGAGGACAAAGATGCCGAGTGGTTTGAAGGAGGAATTAAAGCATTGAAGCATCGATATGAAAGTGTCATTCGTGTTCATGGAGACTACTTTGAATAATAAATATAGTCATTTAAAAATACAATGTGTGTTTCTATATCAGGCTTAAAAAATTTTCCTCCCCCTGTACTATGCCTGCGACTTCTTTCTAAATGGATCATATGTACAGTTGGGACCAATAACATCAGACTAGTAAGATAGTTATTACTTATTACTAATAATTTCTAATAACTGGTAATAAGATGTCATCTTATTAGTGTAATAAGTATAGTAATAAGTATAGTTATTAGAATGTTACTAGTCAGAAGACTAATAAGATGCATGTATCTTATTAGTATA